AGGTCGCTTCGGATTCTTATTCTACACTTGTTGTGGAGTCTCTGTGAAAAACCCCACGGGTCGTTTGGCTCGATGGGCCTTGGAATTATTAGAATACGATTATACCGTGGAGTACCGTAAGGGAGCCCTACACCACGTGCCTGATGCACTATCGCGTATGTACAAGAGCGCGGAAGGTGGAATCGTGAATGCCGCGATCGAGGTCGAAGAGTGCGAGGGCACGAGCGACGAGTGGTATCGGAAGCGGTATAAAGAGGTGGTAACGAACCCGAAAAGATTCGCTCATTGGAAAATAGTCGATAAGCAACTATATTTCTTGCGACCGCGGCCGGTTATTTCAGATATAATAGAGGATTTAGATCGGTGGAAATTAGTGCTACCACGAGAGCTATTCAAGCCGGTCATCTGGGGATAGAGAAGACGTATCAGCGTCTAGCGGTGTCGTATTATTACCCGAATATGTTCCGAGGAGTTAGCCGGTATGTTAAAACGTGCGACACGTGTCAGAGAACTAAAGTAGAGCAGGCTAGTTCAGCGGGATGGATGGGTCGGCGCGTCGTTGAAGGGCTGTGGGTTACCATCGCCGCGGACATCGTGGGGCCGTTGCTCCGCAGTAAAGCCGGATACCAGTACCTTCTGGTAATCCAAGACTTATTCACTAAGTGGATCGAAGTAAAACCTTTGCGAGCGGCTACCGGCCTAAAAATAAGAGAAGCGCTAGAAGACCTTATCGTGTCGCGATGGGGTACGCCAAAAATCCTGCTCACCGATAACAGGACAGAATTCGTAAATCGTGTTATAAAGAGCTTTGCCGAGGAAAACGGTATCACGCACACCACCGTGCCGTCATATCATCCGCAAGCCAATCCCGTGGAAAGGGTGAATCGAACTCTAAAAACGATGATCGTGTCCTTTATTGAGAGAGACTATAGAGAATGGGATAAATACCTACCCCATTTCCGCTTTGCCTATGATACCGCGTCGCATTCGTCCTTAGGTGCTTCCCCGGCATTTGTAAACCTCGGACGCGAGTTAATACCACCGAACTCTTTGCGTGACCGTGGCGAGGAAATAGAGCAGGTCGAACCGCGAGACCTCGCGGACTGGTCCCAGAGAATGACGGAACTGAGGGCCATTCGGGAGTGGGTAGCGGAAAGTTTAAATCAAGCGAATCAAAGACAGGCCGCGAACTATAATTTGCGTAGACGGTCGCGCGGAGATTCCGAGTTGGGGATTTGGTGCTGAAACGGCAGCACGTGCTGTCGTCGGTCGCGCAAAATGTCGCGGGAAAATTGGCACCCAAATTCCAGGGGCCCCCACGGATAAAGAGGGCGATCTCTCCAGTCGTGTATGAGTTGTCCTGACTGGACGGATCGGCCATCGGAAAAGTTCATGTCAAGGATATCAAGCCGTACTACCCTCCTGCCCCTGACCCGTAGGAATTACCAAGAGTTACGAGGTGCAGTGCCACGACGGAGTAAAAATGGCCCGACGGTTCATCCGCAGGCATTGCAGTGGTCGACCACCGTCTGGTGTCGCGGGAGCTCCCGCAACACTACGCCCTGAGGGCCGAGCAGGGCGTAGTGTTGCGGGAGCTCCCGCGACACCAGAACCAGGCGACGCAGACCGAGGCAACAGCCCCGGAAGCATCCGAGCCACGGAGTTGTTGGAATTGCTCCGAGCTAGGGCACTCCTACAGGAACTGCCCGTACCCCCGCCGGTGGGAGTTCTGTTGCGGGTGCGGGGCACGAGGAGTGATCCGCAGGGGGTGCCGCCGCTGCAGACGCACTAGGGAGCAGGGGCCCTATGGCGCTCTCCGCGGGCCGCGAGACCGTCAATGAAGTCAGGATCGGCTGTGACTTCATTGACGGTCTCGCGGCCCGCGGGGAGAACATGAACGACGACCACCCCGGGCTCCGGAGGGGACTCCTACCGAAGTACCGCGCGTGCCGAAGATAGTCGAGACCCCTCCCTGTAGAGTGTAGAGAAAGAATAAAAGGCTGCTATGTATTTGTGTGTTGTCTTTCCTTCCTTTTCTCTTATTAAAGTATTGAATAACATATCGAGGGAGAATATCGGGCGTAGGGAGTGGCTCGCGCGGGCGTCGAGAACGGTCAGGGAAAATCCGGGTATAGATCACCGAGGTCACTATTCGAGGGGGAAAATTCGATAGAAAAATGGGGGGCCAGGAAATCTTGATATAAGATCGTATTGCGCTACGAAGAAATTTGCTTGAATGAGATATTTTATATAGTTCAAACAAAAAAAATTAAAATTCTTATAAGAAGATTATAAATTGTTGCGTGTATAACTTTGATTTAATACTTCTTTTTTTCACGAGATCTAACATGAATTTTAAATAGAAAGTGGGTTTTATACAAAAGGATTCTATTTGATTACATGAAACTTGTAAAACGACCCGTCCCGAGAAAGAGAGAAAGGGCATAGGTGGTACTGGAACAGTGCATCAGAGCTAATTTGATTCGGTTTGTGTTAGCTTCAATGCTTTGATGAAGGCTACCAACAACTCCCCTAATCGCAGCGAGGTAGCTGCGTTTGTCGCGCAAAACTTTGCTATGCAGGACGAGTTGGATAATTCAACGTTGCCGGACTGGAAGGAAAATCCCGTCATCCTAAAATCCATTCAGGATCCTCAGTATCAAGAATGGGCGAAACGTTTGAACCGCATTTGGGAAACTTTGGCGAGGAAGATAAATAACGACTTGGTGGTCAATCCGCAGCGACACAGCTTAATTTACGTGAATAATACTTTCATCATTCCCGGTGGACGATTTAAAGGTGATTGTTTATATATGCGCGGAAATGTGTGTTTCTTTTATAGTCAATATGGCATCTGAATGTTTCATCCATAAGATGTTTCAGTCAGTTCAAGTGAAATGAATATTTAGCCAATTCGGATTTGCATATCCTTAAATTCTTACTACTGCCGCATAAAAAGGATTTCACGCAATGGGTCTTAAAAGCTTGGCTTTACTCTTTTACATTCTCGAGTTAGCTTCTTCTTTGGCTTGCATACATAAAAATGTTGTACCTCGTAAAGCTTTAAGAAAAATTGCGCCTGCAGAAACTTCTGTATTCCTGATGGCGGGAATGTTGACATTTTTCTGACACATTGTGCTCACCTATTTTTATGTGTTTGCATTGTTAGCGGGGAGTAAGAACTCGTTTACGTACTTTTATATGTGTTTACGCCGCTAAGAATCAAAAAGCAATAATAATTTTTATGATATTTACATTTGTTGTACACGAATTCTATAGACTTCTCCGCATTGTGTGGAAAACTCTTCGGATCCTTGAAGAATCATTGCGAGGAAAGCGCTTGTCCGCTTTTGCGACCCATCCATTTCTGAGGGACATTGTAATTTTAAATTAAGACAAGAATTTATTTCCTCCTCGCAATTGCTTATGTGATCTCCAAACTTTGTTTTTCCGTCGCATATTATGCGTGTCGCTTCTGGATAATACGCAATTAGCTAAAAGCAAAATTCAATGTGTCGCGCGGGAGGAAACGGAGAAAGAGTTCGCGAAATGAAAGGATCAAATTTTGCCGCAGAGTTTTATTATTGGGACAGCTACTGGGTAATCGAGGGACTCTTGTTATGCGACATGCCCGTCACCGTTAAAGGGATGATCGAGAACTTCCTCTCTATGGTGGACAGATTCGGCTTCGTACCGAATGGCGGTAGAGTTTATTACTTATCGCGAAGCCAACCGCCCTTGTTAATACCGATGGTACGTATCCCCCGAACAACGTCCCCATTTCTGCTTTTGTCTCGAAACGTTCGAGTCGGTCTTCTGTATCTCGTATAGAAATCCCTGCCAATAGCCAATATCTCCCCCGAACGATCTCTCTATCTCCGAATTATTTCTTGAGGAACTCCGAAGTCCGTTTGCCATTAACGACGCAAATGTCTTTCAGGTCGCCAAGTATTACGAGTACACGAACGATAGGAAATTTTTGAAAAATAACATAGCGCTCCTCGACAAGGAATTTGAATATTGGCAAAACAAGAAGACGATGGATGTAACGAAGAACGGTAGGACGTACAAGATGGCGCGTTACGTGGTAAACAGCAACGGACCTCGACCGGAAAGTTACAAGTAAGTTCTCTTTCGGTAGAAGATACCGTCAAGAAGTTTTTCCAAGTAAACGATACAACCGTCGAAACGTTTCGGAAAACGAAAATTTGGAACAATATAGAACTAGCTGTTAACTAGTTGAAATTCTTTCGTATTGCAAAATATGTCTGAGGCAAAATGTTCAAATTTGAAGTTATACACAGGAAAAAAGAATATTTTTGATTTGAAAATATCTTTCAAAGGGAAATCTTGAAATCAGATTATATTGCGTTAAACGAAGAAAATTTTCCTGAATAAAATTTTATATAGTTCAATAAAAAAAAAATGGAGATAAAAAGTTAAAATTCTTAGATTGTTGCGTATATATGTAAGTTTTGATTTCACATTTCTTTTTTTTCTGAAAAGTCGTATTAAAAATATTTATAGTGCCTAATTTCTTAACCGGCGTGTTATTGGCAGTTACATCATTAAATTACCTTATTCAAAACTTAATGAATCAAGTTGCTACTTTTATTTTATATATTGTATAAAAAAGAAAATATATCATTTCCCTATTTGAAACTTTAAATCTTGTTTTCTCTGAATTCATAATAATGGAGACACGATATTCTTTACCTCTAAGGTACAGATATACATTGACATCATACATGTAAGATAAAAATTGCAATTCAGTTATTTATATATCCGGGAGGAATTGGCGTGATCTTCATCGGGGAAATTCGAGATAAAAAGAAACGATTGTGTTTCTTTGACATTTAATGGATCACGTTCTCCGCCGGCCGCGTCTCTTAGCTCTTAATCGAAAGGCGAAACGTAATGACCCTGGTCGTCGCGGTCCATCGTGTTTTCTCGCTCCGTTTCGACACTTGTATCGATCACCCGGGAGAGGTAGGTCTTCCATCATCGTGTTAATTATAAAGGACCAAGCAGGTAAGAACGAAACGTGTGCGTGTTCTCACAGGGAGGATTATCAGCTGGCGCAGCGAGTGCCGGAGCAGGCGCGAGGGCCGATTTACAACGACTTGAAAGCCGCGGCGGAGAGCGGCTGGGACTTCTCCTACAGATGGTGCATACGGACTGACAAGACCGGCAATCTCAGTCTCGTCAACGTCTCCACGAGCGACATCATACCCGTCGAATTGAATGCGATATTACAGCGGAACGCCAGGATGCTCGCCTACTTTCACGGTGTCCTGCGTAACATGAGGGTAAAAGCCTCTCGCTAAACCGCCCTTCCGCTCCGATCGCTCCTCAAACATGGAATAATGCGGCAATAAATACAGCATTATTCGCTCCCCAAACATATTCCCGAATAATGCTGTATTTATTGCTGCATGTCGTTAAAGAGGGATACGGTAATATTGCTTCACAAATTACTACAATAATATTCCCAATCCTTGCTTATTACACAGCTGATATACAAGTGAGCCTCGGTAATGCGAGAAGTGGTCAAAGTACCGGTTTGAATGATTATCTGGAACCCGAAAAAGAAATTGCTTCGACTCGGTCAGATAAATGGCATATAATACCGTTTACCATTTTGCCTCCGTTCGCTTGTTATTGATTGCGTAACGCCACGGTGTCCATACATTGTTGCTACTTCTCCCTCCTCTCTCGTTCCAGAAAGTCTGGTATTACACCAAAATTGCCTCGGACTATCAAGCTGCCATCGACAATGTGCTGTGGAACGAGGATAAGGGAACCTGGCTAGATTACGACACGAGAAATAAGCGATCCATGAATTCGTTCTACCCTTCGAATCTGGCGCCTCTGTACACAATGAGCTACGATCGAAACAAGAGGGTTAAATATGCGATGCAATCCATTAGTTATCTCAAAAGAAACAAGATTGATTCGTACGTTGGTGAGTCGAACGATTGTATTTGTACCGATTGATAAAATGTTGCTCATCTTTTTACCACACAAAGCCTAAAAAAAATATAACAAACTTTTTCACACAACGCGCTATAACTGGCAATTGAATTTTTTAATACGTATCTATTTGCAACAGTATATGTTTTAAGCTGAGAGTTTGAAACGCCTCACTTTGACAAAATATTTTTCCTCTCCATATACAAGCTGTTCGCTATTTTATTATCGTTTGAAATCCGATAGATGCAAAATTTTCTCATCGAGAAAATCCTAAAAATTTCGCTCCGTTATTCGTTCCATTACCTGTAAGCGCTTTTTCGCGTTCAAAGCAAATAAAAAAATAGGATAAATAAAAATGTACCAAAAGTAACAAAAATAAATGAAGATAACTCAAAGATGAAAGAATGTTCGACGGCTCGATCGACACACGCTCCCTGTGTGAACGCAGCTGAATGGAGTTTACGAGTTAATTAATCCTAACTTTCGCCTATATTCTTTCACGGACATATGCCTCCGCCCGAACGTTTATCTTTCATTTTTCTTTTTTCAAAAGTTGCTAAAGTTGTTCGCGAATTTCTCTATCTATCCCAGATTATTTCCCGATTATTTCCTAGATCGAGCAAACAATGACTCTGCCAGTTATCCGCTTTTATTAGAGAATCCGAGGGGGCAGCTATACACGTAACCATCACGATGAGCGTCAAACCGCCATATTGTATTCCGCGTATAATATACGGAATGCGGTCAAGAGAATCTTAACAATGTTAGCAATTCGTATAGGAAATCGGGGTTGCGCATAAATTCAACCCACACAACACGTTTATACTATTAAAAATCATAATTAAACCGAACTATTTAGCAGCAAATTAGCATTTAATACGCGAGAGTTGCAATTCGATTGCGATTCGGTGAACGGCAATATAATGGTTATTTCTGCGCTTAATAAGACACAAAGCCACAAGCTATACTAAATTAGTTGCAGGCTATTGTTGTAATTAATACACTGTTATATTGTTTTTAATATAATTAGCTTCAATTGAGAGCTAGATTAAATTAGTACTTTGTGTACTTTCTGTCAACTGTTAGCAGAGAATTTAGCGACCACATTGTGCTTTATCCTTTATATCGTTATACTTTCTGCACATGAAGTCAAGAGATGACGAATGCGAATCTAAACAGCATCATTATTTACGAGTAATCTTCTTTACGCAAACATATATCTTGAGTGTTTAAGACAAGCTGGATTGAGTGAAAAGCGTCATAATTCGCAATAACGGCATAACGGAGGTGCCGCGGTGGGAAGGCGAACGAGATTTCCGGATGCCAGGCGGGACTGAGAAATTTTATGATTTATCAATGGTCGCGGATCGTTCGCATCGCGCGCGATCCGCGAACGGGGAAATTGGACGGTCGCGTAGAAAATATCTCTCAATCGGATTGCGGCTGCTATCGACAGTGACTCGCGGAAAATCCGAAGCGAAATGAATTTCGCCGTGCGTACAAGTGCCGCGGCATTACTCTCTTTTTCTCTCTGCGTAAGCACCTTACTGCTCGCCGATGTTGACTTTGAAAATATCGCGAATTATTTTAGCGATGATATTTGACCCCAAGAAGACACACCCCCGATTGCGTTACCGACCCTTAAACTTCACACCGGAAAGCTCGTGGATCGGTTTTTAGAACACTGTTCTGAGCCAATAGAATTGTTTGCTCGCAAAATAATGGGAGAGCTGTTCTCGAGAAGAGAGTATGAGTCAAAAATTTCGCAACAAAGAGTGTTTTGTATGAAAACTGTTTTATAAAAGAGAAATTTAATTTTTGTCACGTCTAATAGACAACGGAAAGAATTAATTATATATTTTACGAAGCATCGATTAGCGGCGAATAATTGAGATTGAGAAAAAATGTCGACGAGATGTTCGATGAAATTTTTATTAGGACTGGAATCGAAAGGACCCGCCAAAAGATTGTGGATGAAAGAAGTTCCGGTAAATTGGAACACTGTGAATCACATTGCAGTGTTCCAATTCGTCGCGATCGTGATTTGTTAGGGAATATTTGAATTTCAGATTACATCCGGGGTAACTTTTACTTATTTCATTATTAATGCAGTTAAGTTAAATTTCCCTCCTCTCCTCTCTTTTTTCTCTAGCTCTGCGACTCACTTTGATTGAATAAAATTACGTAATTGCTTACATAATAGACGTAGCGCCAAGGCTGTGATATTATGATATATCGCGAAATGTTAATAACTTAAGAAAGACATTTAAATATCTCTGAGCATATCATATTATTGACTGCAATCGGATTTCTTATGTAAAAATTCCAAATTACAATATTCTTTTGCCAGTCAGAATTTGTCAGAAATCTCGACTAAAAGAAAAAAACATTTGAATAAAGAGGAACTAAATCGGAAATTGAACACAATCGATGTCACCGGGTGCGAAAGAGTTAAGACGCACTTTCTCACGCCGCGTGACCTCGCTTATCGATTCCGATCTCCCGGGCGCGATTGTATCCCGAATCAGGGCGCAACAGCCAGCTGCATTAGAAACGCTACAGACGTAAGAAAACGATACGCTTGTCTCGTCGCAGGTGGCACGCCAACTTCCGTGAACTATACCGGCGAACAATGGGACTTCCCGAACGCCTGGCCGCCGTTGCAGTCCTTCCTGATTCTGGGTCTCTATCAAACCGGAGTGAAAGAAGCGGTCGACTTGGCCGAGACACTGGCCGACAGGTGGCTTAGATCGAACTACCTCGGTTACGACGAGTACGGCAAGATGTTCGAGAAGGTAAGCTCGTTTTTCTCTCTTAAGCCCGACTCTATTCACTTTACGAAACGTTTCTCCGTTCTCCGTCGGAGCTGAAAGATTAAGGGAGGACATTTCTTGCTGACAAGTCGCGACTGATGTCCTACACGAACTACATGCGTCAGAACTATTGAATCTTCCGGCGGAACGGCGCGGTGGCGGATTCTATCGACATATAGTTCGCCGATCAAAGAAAGTGTCTTTCACGACAATGAAGTGTACAAATGGATGTCGGCAAAAAGAAAGCTCTTTTATGAAAAAAGAGCTGTCATAAAGATATATAAATACATAAACATAACTGTTTGTATTTATATGTTTTTGTGGCTTTCATAATATTTTTTATATTTTAATATTTGTCATCTATTGTAACCGCAATATTTTTTAATTGATTTAATAATGTTTCAGAGTAATTTCACATTCCCATCTCTCTCGTAATATAAAACCCCTCTCTTTTATTTCTTTAAAATTTTATTTCGTGCTAATATATTTTTATCGAATATTGGCAATCAAATAGTGATAAATATACATGTATGTGGCTAATATAATGTTAAAAATATCGGCGCAGGTAATGTTTAACATTTAGTATTTCAATTAACTGAACATTATGTTTCAACATTAATTTTACATCTCTCTCTCCGTAATATAAAATATCTCTCTTTTATTCACGCGAAATTTATTTCGTGCTAAACGTTTCTATCTGTATATATTAGCGTCCAAATATATACCGATACATTTGTGGCTAATATATCGATGCTAAAAAATAGCGGTGCACGCACAGGTAATACTTAATACGGATAGTGACAGAGCGCTATTTAATACTCTGCTACAGTAAACACTTTTGTTCCGGCGGCGCTGTCCGCATCTTCTCGTGTGTCTTTTTGATACGGAAACTTGACATGGTATGTATTTCGAAGAACAGTTTCGAATTTCGATATGGAGCCGAGAGATGGTCGCTCGGCTTGGACGCGTCTAACGTGCGCGAGGGTGACCTCGCTCGTTTCCTTTGTCGCCCTGACGTATCTCGGCTGCCCTATACCTGGAACAGCGGAACGGGAAGCGAGAGAGGGATGAAAAGCCACGGGGAAATATCGTCCAATGTATATGCGTGCGTGTATGCGCGCGTGCATGTGGCTCATTCTAATCCGTCTTATTTTGTTTCGCCATTCTTCGCTTACGGTTGAGGAAAATACAAGACGGTTGCGTGCGCGGGAACGGGTACGATTAGGAGCACGGTATTGTATACACAGCGCGCAGCTTGTGAGAAAGTATTTTATACATTACCGGTTTCGGTCGGGGGAAAAAAAAGAAGAAAAGAAAAACACTCTGTCGATGGTGCGCTCATGCATATTGAGAAGGGAGTGTCCGTAACAGTCGGCATTTTGCGATGAAAGGAGAAAGATCTTGTTTTTAAATTATACGCTCGTCGACGTCTCTGTCCACGACATCTCTTTATTTTTTATTGAAGTCTTTTCATCATTGAATTTACCTAATTGCGAAGATTATTTTAAACTATTGATGACCCGTTATATCGCGAGCAATTATTTATTGCAATTTTTTTACGCTGAAACATTCAATAGTTAAATAGCTCGCCGAAAATTGTGTTTCTTCATAAATCTTTAATCTTTACTTTTTACTGTGCACGTTGATATTTATCGTACTCTTTTAATTACTGAATGTACCTAATTGCAAAACGATATTAAACTACTACTCTCGACATTAAATCGCGATTATAATATTCATTTCAACTTATCACGTTGAAAAATTCATAATTAAATAGTTCGCCGCAAATTATGTTTGGCAATTTCCCTTTTACAAAGTATATTTATTATCATTGTTATATACGTGGATATTTACTTTTTAACGTACTTTTTTAATTATTGAATATACCTAATCGCAAATCGATATTAAACTACTGATTCTCGACATTAAA